AAGGAAAGTATCACTTGTGTTGAGGTTGGCGTTCAGATGGATCCATTCCTGTGAATTGAAGTCGCAGTCATTAAGGAAAAGCATTCTGTTGTCATCCACCGTCACTATCATGTTGTGTGATTAACCCAGGTATAATTAGTAAGTCTTTTGGGGAAATTAAATCAGCAAGTCGCGGACGTAGTTATAACATGAGACTGCGTTTGTGCCATCAGTAACTATTTGCTTGAAGGAAGTTATTTGGTGTATATTATAGAATGTTCACTTCATTTACTAGGCAGGTGCAACGATGCTTCCGATTGTTTTAATAGAATTCAGTTGTAAGTATGAGGTCCCTTTCCAAATACTGCCGCATGTATTACTGTAAAAACGCCAGTGGTCTACCTGAGCTTGGTTTCGTTGCTAGGATTTGATGTGCGTTCTTTGCTGTAGATTTTGTGTATTTTGTTTGCAACCTGTTCTTATTCATGACAGAGAGCATCTTATTGGGTTTATAAAGGGACCATGTCTGTCTGAGTGGCCCGTATAATCAGGAGCGACGCTTGCCAAATATTTACAGGGTTCCACAAACGGTTTGGGACACAGTGGAGATGTCACCAAGCGGGAATATGTGACGTCAACAATGAAGCAACGTCATTGTTTATTGTGTCCCCATAAGTAATGACATCACAGAATAAATACGTCAACAATCAGCTGACGTCATAGACAATCAGATTATCGGCAGTGTACGCTGCCGGAGGACGTGTTGCTTTCGGGATGTATCACAAAAGCAGGTTTTGTTGTGACAGGAACGGGATTAGGCAGAGGTAAGTCAGAGGCTATATTCTTTGATGCGAAACCATTTTCTGTCAATATTCCAACAGACCTTGGCGTTATCCAGTGACGTGTGTTCACTGCAGACGACTGTTTAGATTTGGTGATTGTATCCTAAATTCCTCTGTCTAGTAATTTAGTATGAATGGACAAAGCTTATGGTTTCGAGGAAAGTGTTCTTGGCAGCGTCGGCATTGTGGTAGTGAAGGAATGGGCTTGTTACGAAAGTTAAATGTGCTTTTAATTGAATGTGATGGGATAACAAGTATGTTGCCCTTTCCAGGAAATCTACAGAGTTAAAGGTCAGGCTCTGCAATCGGGCGGGTTTGTGTAGTGACTGTTGATTGTCGTCACATAATATGACTTGAATTTGTGTGCCTCGATGAGATCGCGTAGTTGTAAAAAGGAAAGTATCACTTGTGTTGAGGTTGGCGTTCAGATGGATCCATTCCTGTGAATTGAAGTCGCAGTCATTAAGGAAAAGCATTCTGTTGTCATCCACCGTCACTATCATGTTGTGTGATTAACCCAGGTATAATTAGTAAGTCTTTTGGGGAAATTAAATCAGCAAGTCGCGGACGTAGTTATAACATGAGACTGCGTTTGTGCCATCAGTAACTATTTGCTTGAAGGAAGTTATTTGGTGTATATTATAGAATGTTCACTTCATTTACTAGGCAGGTGCAACGATGCTTCCGATTGTTTTAATAGAATTCAGTTGTAAGTATGAGGTCCCTTTCCAAATACTGCCGCATGTATTACTGTAAAAACGCCAGTGGTCTACCTGAGCTTGGTTTCGTTGCTAGGATTTGATGTGCGTTCTTTGCTGTAGATTTTGTGTATTTTGTTTGCAACCTGTTCTTATTCATGACAGAGAGCATCTTATTGGGTTTATAAAGGGACCATGTCTGTCTGAGTGGCCCGTATAATCAGGAGCGACGCTTGCCAAATATTTACAGAGTTCTACAAACGGTTTGGGACACAGGGAGATGTCACCAAGCGGGAATATGTGACGTCAACAATGAAGCAACGTCATTGTTTATTGTGTCCCCATAAGTAATGACATCACAGAATAAATACGTCAACAATCAGCTGACGTCATAGACAATCAGATTATCGGCAGTGTACGCTGCCGGAGGACGTGTTGCTTTCGGGATGTATCACAAAAGCAGGTTTTGTTGTGACAGGAACGGGATTAGGCAGAGGTAAGTCAGAGGCTATATTCTTTGATGCGAAACCATTTTCTGTCAATATTCCAACAGACCTTGGCGTTATCCAGTGACGTGTGTTCACTGCAGACGACTGTTTAGATTTGGTGATTGTATCCTAAATTCCTCTGTCTAGTAATTTAGTATGAATGGACAAAGCTTATGGTTTCGAGGAAAGTGTTCTTGGCAGCGTCGGCATTGTGGTAGTGAAGGAATGGGCTTGTTACGAAAGTTAAATGTGCTTTTAATTGAATGTGATGGGATAACAAGTATGTTGCCCTTTCCAGGAAATCTACAGAGTTAAAGGTCAGGCTCTGCAATCGGGCGGGTTTGTGTAGTGACTGTTGATTGTCGTCACATAATATGACTTGAATTTGTGTGCCTCGATGAGATCGCGTAGTTGTAAAAAGGAAAGTATCACTTGTGTTGAGGTTGGCGTTCAGATGGATCCATTCCTGTGAATTGAAGTCGCAGTCATTAAGGAAAAGCATTCTGTTGTCATCCACCGTCACTATCATGTTGTGTGATTAACCCAGGTATAATTAGTAAGTCTTTTGGGGAAATTAAATCAGCAAGTCGCGGACGTAGTTATAACATGAGACTGCGTTTGTGCCATCAGTAACTATTTGCTTGAAGGAAGTTATTTGGTGTATATTATAGAATGTTCACTTCATTTACTAGGCAGGTGCAACGATGCTTCCGATTGTTTTAATAGAATTCAGTTGTAAGTATGAGGTCCCTTTCCAAATACTGCCGCATGTATTACTGTAAAAACGCCAGTGGTCTACCTCAGCTTGGTTTCGTTGCTAGGATTTGATGTGCGTTCTTTGCTGTAGATTTTGTGTATTTTGTTTGCAACCTTTTCTTATTCATGACAGAGAGCATCTTATTGGGTTTATAAAGGGACCATGTCTGTCTGAGTGGCCCGTATAATCAGGAGCGACGCTTGCCAAATATTTACAGGGTTCCACAAACGGTTTGGGACACAGGGAGATGTCACCAAGCGGGAATATGTGACGTCAACAATGAAGCAACGTCATTGTTTATTGTGTCCCCATAAGTAATGACATCACAGAATAAATACGTCAACAATCAGCTGACGTCATAGACAATCAGATTATCGGCAGTGTACGCTGCCGGAGGACGTGTTGCTTTCGGGATGTATCACAAAAGCAGGTTTTGTTGTGACAGGAACGGGATTAGGCAGAGGTAAGTCAGAGGCTATATTCTTTGATGCGAAACCATTTTCTGTCAAAATACCAACAGACCTTGGCGTTATCCAGTGACGTGTGTTCACTGCAGACGACTGTTTAGATTTGGTGATTGTATCCTAAATTCCTCTGTCTAGTAATTTAGTATGAATGGACAAAGCTTATGGTTTCGAGGAAAGTGTTCTTGGCAGCGTCGGCATTGTGGTAGTGAAGGAATGGGCTTGTTACGAAAGTTAAATGTGCTTTTAATTGAATGTGATGGGATAACAAGTATGTTGCCCTTTCCAGGAAATCTACAGAGTTAAAGGTCAGGCTCTGCAATCGGGCGGGTTTGTGCAGTGACTGTTGATTGTCGTCACATAATATGACTTGAATTTGTGTGCCTCGATGAGATCGCGTAGTTGTAAAAAGGAAAGTATCACTTGTGTTGAGGTTGGCGTTCAGATGGATCCATTCCTGTGTATTGAAGTCGCAGTCATTAAGGAAAAGCATTCTGTTGTCATCCACCGTCACTATCATGTTGTGTGATTAACCCAGGTATAATTAGTAAGTCTTTTGGGGAAATTAAATCAGCAAGTCGCAGACGTAGTTATAACATGAGACTGCGTTTGTGCCATCAGTAACTATTTGCTTGAAGGAAGTTATTTGGTGTAGATTATAGAATGTTCACTTCATTTACTAGGCAGGTGCAACGATGCTTCCGATTGTTTTAATAGAATTCAGTTGTAAGTATGAGGTCCCTTTCCAAATACTGCCGCATGTATTACTGTAAAAACGCCAGTGGTCTACCTGAGCTTGGTTTCGTTGCTAGGATTTGATGTGCGTTCTTTGCTGTAGATTTTGTGTATTTTGTTTGCAACCTGTTCTTATTCATGACAGAGAGCATCTTATTGGGTTAATAAAGGGACCATGTCTGTCTGAGTGGCCCGTATAATCAGGAGCGACGCTTGCCAAATATTTACAGGGTTCCACAAACGGTTTGGGACACAGGGAGATGTCACCAAGCGGGAATATGTGACGTCAACAATGAAGCAACGTCATTGTTTATTGTGTCCCCATAAGTAATGACATCACAGAATAAATACGTCAACAATCAGCTGACGTCATAGACAATCAGATTATCGGCAGTGTACGCTGCCGGAGGACGTGTTGCTTTCGGGATGTATCACAAAAGCAGGTTTTGTTGTGACAGGAACGGGATTAGGCAGAGGTAAGTCAGAGGCTATATTCTTTGATGCGAAACCATTTTCTGTCAATATTCCAACAGACCTTGGCGTTATCCAGTGACGTGTGTTCACTGCAGACGACTGTTTAGATTTGGTGATTGTATCCTAAATTCCTCTGTCTAGTAATTTAGTATGAATGGACAAAGCTTATGGTTTCGAGGAAAGTGTTCTTGGCAGCGTCGGCATTGTGGTAGTGAAGGAATGGGCTTGTTACGAAAGTTAAATGTGCTTTTAATTGAATGTGATGGGATAACAAGTATGTTGCCCTTTCCAGGAAATCTACAGAGTTAAAGGTCAGGCTCTGCAATCGGGCGGGTTTGTGCAGTGACTGTTGATTGTCGTCACATAATATGACTTGAATTTGTGTGCCTCGATGAGATCGCGTAGTTGTAAAAAGGAAAGTATCACTTGTGTTGAGGTTGGCGTTCAGATGGATCCATTCCTGTGTATTGAAGTCGCAGTCATTACGGAAAAGCATTCTGTTGTCATCCACCGTCACTATCATGTTGTGTGATTAACCCAGGTATAATTAGTAAGTCTTTTGGGGAAATTAAATCAGCAAGTCGCAGACGTAGTTATAACATGAGACTGCGTTTGTGCCATCAGTAACTATTTGCTTGAAGGAAGTTATTTGGTGTATATTATAGAATGTTCACTTCATTTACTAGGCAGGTGCAACGATGCTTCCGATTGTTTTAATAGAATTCAGTTGTAAGTATGAGGTCCCTTTCCAAATACTGCCGCATGTAGTACTGTAAAAACGCCAGTGGTCTACCTGAGCTTGGTTTCGTTGCTAGGATTTGATGTGCGTTCTTTGCTGTAGATTTTGTGTATTTTGTTTGCAACCTGTTCTTATTCATGACAGAGAGCATCTTATTGGGTTTATAAAGGGACCATGTCTGTCTGAGTCGCCCGTATAATCAGGAGCGACGCTTGCCAAATATTTACAGGGGTCCACAAACGGTTTGGGTGAGGTGATGTGAAATTGGGTTTAACGTCGCGTCCAAGATTATTGCACTTATATAGCGACGTGCATGCACGTGTATGTGTGTGTGTGGCTGCTTGTACTAGTCCAGACTGATGCCGATTTATAGTGCTAGCTCACTGAGATACCATGCCGCAGTTTAACATGAATACCCCACTCAGACACAGTATACTGACTCCGAGCCGACCAGTCCTTGTTTTAGCCCCTTAATGCCGAGCGCCAGACAGGGTAACAACAAGTACAATCTTTAAACGTCTTTTTGTATGACGCGGCCCGATATCGAACCCTGGACCTTCCGCTCTCCGGGCGGACGCTCTACCACAAGACCACGGAGGCGGTCCCAAACAAACGGTTTGGGACACAGTAAAGATGTAACGAAGCGGGAATCTGTGACGTCAACAATGAAGCAACGTCACTGTTTATTGTGTCCCCATAAGTAATGACATCACAGAATAAATACGTCAACAATCAGCTGACGTCATAGACAATCAGATTATCGACAGTGTACGCTGCCGGAGGACGTGTTGCTTTCGGGATGTATCACAAAAGCAGGTTTTGTTGTGACAGGAACGGGATTAGGCAGAGGTAAGTCAGAGGCTATATTCTTTGATGCGAAACCATTTTCTGTCAATATTCCAACAGACCTTGGCGTTATCCAGTGACGTGTGTTCACCGCAGACGACTGTTTAGATTTGGTGATTGTATCCTAAATTCCTCTGTCTAGTAATTTAGTATGAATGGACAAAGCTTATGGTTTCGAGGAAAGTGTTCTTGGCAGCGTCGGCATTGTGGTAGTGAGGGAATGGGCTTGTTACGAAAGTTAAATGTGCTTTTAATTGAATGTGATGGGATAACAAGTATGTTGCCCTTTCCAGGAAATCTACAGAGTTAAAGGTCAGGCTCTGCAATCGGGCGGGTTTGTGTAGTGACTGTTGATTGTCGTCACATAATATGACTTGAATTTGTGTGCCTAGATGAGATCGCGTAGCTGAAAAAAGGAAAGCATCACTTGTGTTGAGGTTGGCGTTCAGATGGATCCATTCCTGTGTATTGAAGTCGCAGTCATTAAGGAAAAGCATTCTATTGTCATCCACCGTCACTATCATGTTGTGTGATTAACCCAGGTATAATTAGTAAGTCTTTTGGGGAAATTAAATCAGCAAGTCGCAGACGTAGTTATAACATGAGACTTCGTATGTGCCATCAGTAACTATTTGCTTGAAGGAAGTTATTTGGTGTATATTATAGAATGTTCACTTCATTTACTAGGTTGGTGCAACGATGCTTCCGATTGTTTTAATAGAATTCAGTTGTAAGTATGAGGTCCCTTTCCAAATACTGCCGCATGTATAACTGTAAAAAAACGCTACCTGAGCTTGGTTTCGTTGCTAGGATTTGATGTGCGTTCTTTGCTGTAGATTTTGTGTATTTTGTTTGCAACCTGTTCTTATTCATGACAGAGAGCATCTTATTGGGTTTATAAAGGGACCATGTCTGTCTGAGTCGCCCGTATAATCAGGAGCGACGCTTGCCAAATATTTACAGGGGTCCACAAACGGTTTGGGTGAGGTGAGGTGAAATTGGGTTTAACGTCGCGTCCAAGATTATTGCACTTATATAGCGACGTGCATGCACGTGTATGTGTGTGTGTGGCTGCTTGTACTAGTCCGGACTGATGCCGATTTATAGTGCTAGCTCACTGAGATACCATGCCGCAGTTTAACATGAATACCCCACTCAGACACAGTATACTGACTCCGAGCCGACCAGTCCTTGTTTTAGCCCCTTAATGCCGAGCGCCAGACAGGGTAACAACAAGTACAATCTTTAAACGTCTTTTTGTATGACGCGGCCCGATATCGAACCCTGGACCTTCCGCTCTCCGGGCGGACGCTCTACCACAAGACCACGGAGGCGGTCCCAAACAAACGGTTTGGGACACAGTGGAGATGTCACCAAGCGGGAATCTGTGACGTCAACAATGAAGCAACGTCACTGTTTATTGTGTCCCCATAAGTAATGACATCACAGAATAAATACGTCAACAATCAGCTGACGTCATAGACAATCAGATTATCGGCAGTGTACGCTGCCGGAGGACGTGTTGCTTCCGGGATGTATCACAAATGCAGGTTTTGTTGTGACAGGAACGGGATTAGGCAGAGGTAAGTCAGAGGCTATATTCTTTGATGCGAAACCATTTTCTGTCAATATTCCAACAGACCTTGGCGTTATCCAGTTACGTGTGTTCACCGCAGACGACTGTTTAGATTTGGTGATTGTATCCTAAATTCTTCTGTCTAGTAATTTAGTATGAATGGACAAAGCTTCTGGTTTCGAGGAAAGTGTTCTTGGCAGCGTCGGCATTGTGGTAGTGAAGGAATGGGCTTGTTACGAAAGTTAAATGTGCTTTTAATTGAATGTGATGGGATAACAAGTATGTTGCCCTTTCCAGGAAATCTACAGAGTTAAAGGTCAGGCTCTACAATCGGGCGGGTTTGTGTAGTGACTGTTGATTGTCGTCACATAATATGACTTGAATTTGTGTGCCTAGATGAGATCGCGTAGTTGTAAAAAGGAAAGTATCACTTGTGTTGAGGTTGGCGTTCAGATGGATCCATTCCTGTGAATTGAAGTCGCAGTCATTAAGGAAAAGCATTCTGTTGTCATCCACCGTCACTATCATGTTGTGTGATTAACCCAGGTATAATTAGTAAGTCTTTTGGGGAAATTAAATCAGCAAGTCGCGGACGTAGTTATAACATGAGACTGCGTTTGTGCCATCAGTAACTATTTGCTTGAAGGAAGTTATTTGGTGTATATTATAGAATGTTCACTTCATTTACTAGGCAGGTGCAACGATGCTTCCGATTGTTTTAATAGAATTCAGTTGTAAGTATGAGGTCCCTTTCCAAATACTGCCGCATGTAGTACTGTAAAAACGCCAGTGGTCTACCTGAGCTTGGTTTCGTTGCTAGGATTTGATGTGCGTTCTTTGCTGTAGATTTTGTGTATTTTGTTTGCAACCTGTTCTTATTCATGACAGAGAGCATCTTATTGGGTTTATAAAGGGACCATGTCTGTCTGAGTGGCCCGTATAATCAGGAGCGACGCTTGCCAAATATTTACAGGGTTCCACAAACGGTTTGGGACACAGTGGAGATGTCACCAAGCGGGAATCTGTGACGTCAACAATGAAGCAACGTCATTGTTTATTGTGTCCCCATAAGTAATGACATCACAGAATAAATACGTCAACAATCAGCTGACGTCACAGACAATCAGATTATCGGCAGTGTACGCTGCCGGAGGACGTGTTGCTTTCGGGATGTATCACAAAAGCAGGTTTTGTTGTGACAGGAACGGGATTAGGCAGAGGTAAGTCAGAGGCTATATTCTTTGATGCGAAACCATTTTCTGTCAATATTCCAACAGACCTTGGCGTTATCCAGTGACGCGTGTTCACTGCAGACGACTGTTTAGATTTGGTGATTGTATCCTAAATTCCTCTGTCTAGTAATTTAGTATGAATGGACAAAGCTTATGGTTTCGAGGAAAGTGTTCTTGGCAGCGTCGGCATTGTGGTAGTGAAGGAATGGGCTTGTTACGAAAGTTAAATGTGCCATCAGTTACTATTTGCTCGAAGGAAGTTATTTGGTGTATATTATAGAATTTTTACTTCATTTAGTAGGCAGGTGCAACGATGCTTCCGATTGTTTTAATAGAATTCAGTTGTAAGTATGAGGTCCCTTTCCAAATACTGCCGCATGTAATACTGTAAAAACGCCAGTGGTCTACCTGAGCTTGGTTTCGTTGCTAGGATTTGATGTGCGTTCTTTCAGAGACCATATAATAGAGGGACGGCCCTCCCCAACAGTTTATCATAAACCATCAGCGCTAGGGTCTGGCATGTAACTGATACACCCCGACACCCTGCTGTTAACCTCTCTGTACCGCTGCAGATGCGCAATAGATGCGCAGACATTCACGACTGACCATTCTGGTAACCACGTAAACAATATTATATAATATCCGGGGTAAGAGTTAATTCCCTTATCCGCGATTTCTCCGACTACGACCAGCGACAATCCAATAAAAGGACGTCTCTTAGCGGATTACAAAGATTTTTTTTATGATATCTCTCATAAGCACATGTCAGTTGGCTGCAAATTATTTGCTGAACATGTGTGTCTTCCGGGACATTTATTTCAATTTACATTCGCCACAGCCATGGACGACTTCATTCACTTGGACGATTTCGTCTTGGACCTAGATATGCCACTTGAAGAATTCCCTGTCTTCGACCAGGGGTTGGTTTCGGATGACTCTTGGTCTAAATAGAATGACAGTGATGTTACCGCTACCAAGCCGTTGGTAAATACCTCCCAAAAAGATTCACTCAAAGAAAAAGATAGGAAATGAAAATATGACGTCTGTCCACAAGCGTAAGTTTTCGAGGGCGTGTGAAGAAAAAGCCGTTCCGATATCAAAAGTATTTTATAACGTATTCTATTTGTTTTAAAAATCAGTTAAAATATCTCATTTTATGCTGCAATTGTTAACTATTATAAATAAACACATATACCAAATCTACTACGAACGCCACAGAAAACTACGATCCGGTAAACTGCACAGGAACTCAGGAAGTGTAAATAAAACTCATCCAGAAGCAGGGAAGACACTTGTAACATATCACCATATTCCCGATGTTCACAAAATATATCTCCATATTAACTTCATATCTTATAATAAGTCCAGACTAGATTTACTTGCAAAAATGCATGATCACCGACTGGTGTAAATGCTTTACTATTAGCCAGAAAAAAAATGACGCCATATTAATGTTTTTATTTCATGTAAATTCGCTACTATTTTATAATGCTAATAGTTCCAATGAATTAGAAATACACATTAAACTACGAGCGTTGTTGAATGAATTTTCGATGTGTCCGACAATGGGCTTCGAAAGAATCAAAAGTTATTGGTTAATGCCAGTTTGGGGCTAGCAGTGATAATGGGGTTTGCTGGAGCGAGGTAAGTTTTCTTTCAAAGGGAGGCTACTGTTAAATTCCAAATATTCCGATATTACCCGATTAGATTGATATTTCAGCATACAAATAATTAGGTATTTCAGGTATAACAATATAGCTTCAACGAGCATGGTACCAGATATGTACTAGTATATCGTAAACTGTAGCTAGTAACGTTTGTTGTTTTCAAAATTCTTTCATCATAGTTTTCTATATCTGATCAATGATAAACAAACTTTAAACTCTAACCTGGAACAAAGCATGCAACTACACATATATTACTATTAAAACAAAACAAAACATCACAAACTCTGACATATGTAAATGTATTTTTCACAGAAAAGGACAATAGACCATCTATATATTTTACTGAATGACACCTTCGACCTTGTTGTCTGGAACTTCTCTCCCGACGACTGCCGATATAATCCTTCTTCTTTCTTGGCATTTACAAAGCAAATGATAATTTTATTATACAAATATTTCATGTAACGGATTTTTATTTTTGTATGATGTTTTCATTGTTGCGTAAATACACAAAGTAAGTAGTACCTTCATCATATTTACATTATTATGATTGGGTTTAGGCCAATATAATTTTGCTTATAATCAATATTTACACGGCATAAAAAAAATAATCGATAAAATGAAGTCATGATTTATATAGACAAAACCTACAGAAGATAACAAATATGTAGTATTGTAGTATGTAGTATATGCGCGATATGTGATTAGGCCTAACTGAAACAAAGTTAAACTTACGAAGAAATGGCGAAAGCAATGGTAAAAAAAATACGCGTTTTACATAAACAATTCTAATATCATACAATATAAGTCACTTTGTAGAATGTTTCACAGGATATATGCGGATGATAATCACAGACAAAATGCATGTTATGTCGTCTGCTATATGGTAATTTAACTTAAAATATGTGACGTAAAATATGGCCTTGCGCCAAAAATCATACCAAAAAAACTACCGATCGTACCTAAATAACGTTGGTACCAAGCCATAGGGGAAATCGTGATGAATGTAAAACTATTAAATTCAGGACCGATAATAGGAACACATTCGTCTGAAAGCATGCGAAAATTAAGAGTTGTGGTGTAATTATTTCGGGAAAATTCAGATTTAGTCCCATTTCTGGAGTCAAAATCTGAAATTTTGGATCCGCCCTAAATTTGTTAATGGCACTAAGCCAATTTTTAACATATCTCCTTTTTATACACCTAGGTAACCAAGGACTTTCATTGCGAATTAGAGGCCGTTATTGAAAATCAAAATCTGCACTTTTGCCGATTTTACATGTGCGCCATTTTGTTCTCTCGGACAAAGACAAAGCGTGATCACAGTCATCAAATACAGTGATAACGACATGCTTTAGGGCACCAACAAATCTAAGTTGTAATGTTAACAATGTTAAGAAATATATGAGTGTAATTATGTATTGTGAAATATATCTTTTGCATGGGAAAAAAAGGCAACAACGATGACTGCAGTGAACGCGTTTCTGCTCGCTTCCGGACAGGCTGCGCAGTACAAGCCGTAGCACTGATGGTTTCGCGCTTAGGCTAGAGGGCCGTCCCTCTATTATATGGTCTCAGGTTCTTTGCTGTAGATTTTGTGTATTTTGTGTCTGCAACCTGTGCTAATTCATGACAGAGAGCATCTTATTGGGTTGATAAAGGGACCAAGTCTGTCTCAGTGGCCCGTATAATAAGGACCGACGCTTGCCAAATAATAACAGGGGTCCACAAACGGTATTTCTTCAGGTCTCGTCTCGTTTTGTCGCTTTCTCGTCTTGTGTTTTCACTTTCTTGCGGCCACAATTGAAGGCGAGAAAGCGATGTGCCCTCTCGGCCACTACAGAAATAGGCACCGTCAGTAAGATCCACACTAAAAGAAAATGGGAACAGATATGGGCATCATCCTTAAAGGACTTCATCTCTTTGGCATCGAGTCTTTATTAATACATAATTACAGTTGACGACGTGCACATGGAAGAACAGGGAACAACACTCCAACTTTCAGTCGTCTTGCCAGCGCCATTTTAATTAGCCCGCGTCATCACCAGACGCCAATAAGCGCCAGCGACCCAACAAACAAGGCTTTTGACAAGCGAGGGGTCAACTGGAAAACCTCCTTGACAGCGAGGGTTAATCAGCGAATGGATGATGCTCACTATAACCTCTTTCACCTTGCAAGTCATCTGCGGGTGTAAATGTGTATATACAGTTATGTAGTTTGGTATGCGGAAAATACGTTTACGTAGTATCTGTTTAACAATGAAATTCAGTTCATATACTCAACAGCAAAGACCATCATATTTTAGGCAAACTGTAAATGACACAACTACTCCCATGAACCCAGTCAGTTCTTGAGATAGAGTGACTTCCCCTGGCCGTAATAGTCTAAAAAGTTATTTTTATCACATGCTTCTCAGTGCGCTTGAATTTCATTTTGAGCATGCATTTGAATCTGGATACAAAATAATAGTAGTAAATATAGTTGAAATTAAAAGCTGTAAATTTTTATTATGTAATATTAGAAACACAAGGAACTTTCTCGGCAGGGGACATCACTCATATCAATCACCCGGATGTTCCCTTTCAGCCGAGCGGCCATTGACGCGAGGTTAGCTTAATGTGTCTTTGTCAGAATCGGTGCACATCGGCCCATTTCTTCTTCATTTGGCCAAATAAACTAGTCAGATTGATTTTCACGACATTCATTTATTCATCTATGCATCTATTTTTCATAGGATGAGCTATTTATGTATCTAAATTGACATGTAAACATCGCATGATACACACGTTTCGTCAATTGTTCTTCTATCACATTGAGCAGGCCGGTAGAAGTTAGTTTATTACCTTTTTCTTTTATTTCGTTGACATTACTTCGACAGTTGTGTGGTTAATTATGTTGTTGAACCAGTTACTGTATGTTAGATGCGATGGACATGAGTGGGTGCCACCTATGACGATTGAGTCCTTTCCTTGAGAGCTTGGTATCGAGTATGGGTTTGATAACACGTTAGTAGTTTGCAACTTACCCTATGGGACCTAGCTTTTTCGTGCAGCAAGTAGGCTTTACCAACGTTTAGGTTATAATGCACTAGTATCCATCCTGGATTCCTCTTGTTCTGAGATGAACTTCATCTTCTGTTGTAAATTTGCTGGACATTTTGCTGTGAGAGGGAGTAATTTAGATTTGATTTTTTGTGCCAAATTTGGAAAACATTGACACTAATAAGGGACCAGATTTACCATGTTTACGTTGATGTATTGACCACGTTTGTAATCTGTTGCTCACTCTCGCTAAGAGTAGGACCTCAACTGTGGTATGGTCAACACAGCGTTTGAAATTGGCACTAGTCCTGTAGTCCTTGTCAAACTGCCCAATAGTTAAGATATAAGGACTAGTGGACTAAAACGGTTAGTTTCTACCACTGCAACACTGAGCATGTAGCAAATAATACTGGTGACAAATGACTTGCTGTAAAGACACCAGTGTGTGGTCCACTGCTGGCACCCCAAATCATGATCTGTTTGGGTGTTAGTGTGCTTTATGAGCTAAGATCAGTAAAGATGATGTACTGTACTGGTTAGCTTATGTGCAAAGGGTGAATTCCATCTTAAATTTTTCAGTTCACATATTGTAATCTATGGATAAATGTCTTCCTTCGGCTTTGGAAACATTGGTCATTTGTTCGGCTGATATTGTATTTTGTTACAAATAGCTCATCTTTGTTGACAGATAACCTTTATATGTTGTTTCAGGACGCTCCTCTGACTTCAGTATGAAGTTCAATAAGATGGTAACCTCCTCACGGAGGAAGAACCGCAAGAGGCATTTCAACGCCCCCTCCCACATCAGACGCAAGATCATGAGCTCCGCTCTTTCAAAGGAACTGCGTCAAAAATACAATGTTAGAAGTATGCCCATTAGGAAGGACGATGAAGTGCAGGTGTGCATTGTTGGATAAAATGTTTATAAATGTGTAAATAGTGGTGAACTACATATAATGTAGGGAACAATTTAAAGTAGACAGTTCTGAAATTCATTGCTGACTAATGGTAATTTATAACGGCCCTAATTTACGAGGTATTCTAAATATTGACTAGCCATTGGTGTTACTTTTCAGGTTGTCCGAGGCCATTATAAAGGCCAGCAGGTCGGGAAAGTTGTCCAGGTGTACAGAAAGAAATATGTTATCTACATTGAGAGGATACAGAGAGAAAAGGCCAATGGTGCCACTGTACATGTTGGCATCCATCCTTCAAAGGTTTGTAGTCGTGCCAAAACGTTTTTAAAGGTTTGCACAATAATCAAAAGCCAAATTGACAGCTGTTCATGAATGATGCAGTGGTGTAAAACCATTCATGAACAATGTAATGTAAGTAGGAAATTGCAGTGATTGGTTGCCATGGTTATGGCTAGCAGGTTGGTCTCCCCCCCCCCCCAATGATTTCAGAATCTTCTTTTGTCTGATTGCTGGGTCATTATATGGTATTAGGTTTAATTGTACATATGGATTGCCACTATTTATCTGTACTTCATTGATGTGGAAAGAAGTGTTGGAGAACCATGTGTTTAAACCCTTTCTTTATATCTGGCTTCTCGTCTCCTATGATGAGCGGCCTCCAAGAAAGGGGAGATAATAAGTTTGTGTAGCTGGAGATCATCCTCACACATAGGATAGGTCCATTACCAACCTAACGACATTCCCTGTTATTAAGCAGCTTTGTCAATATTCCCTCCATTTTATGCTCATGATCAGAGCATTCACTGGTTTCCCTCACATTAGTCCATGTGTGAATGGGAAACATACTCAATACCAAACCTGTGAATATTGTCCATGTTGTGAAGACCGCCTTTGTGGTCTAATGGTAGAGCATCTACCTGGAGAGCTGAAGGTCCGAGGTTCGATCCCGGACCGCGTCATACCTAAAGACCATAAAAGATGGTACTTGTTGTTACCCTGTCTGGTGCTCGGCATTAAGGGGCTAAAACAAGGACTGTTCGGCTCGGCGTCGGTATACTGTGTCTGAATGGGGTGTTAAACTGCAGCATGGTATTTTAGTGAGCTAGTACTATAAATCGGAATCAGTCTGGACTAGTACATGTGCACACACACACACACACACACACACACACACACACACACACACACACACGCCACTATATAAGTGCAATAATCTTGGACGGGACGTTAAACCCAATTTCACCTCACCATGTTGTGAAACTTAGTCATGAATAATAAATCTGGACTCTTCACCTTTTAAGATCTGAAGAGCAGATATTCTGTACTTGGCACCCAAATTTCCAAAAATCAAATACTGTTACCAAGACGACAATCTCCAGTTTTTGTTGTTAGCATTGTCAAATATGTTTTACTACATACTCTAGGGGATCTGTGAAGATCCGGGGTAGAATAGGTCTTCAGCAACCCATGCTTGCCGTGAAATGCGACTATGCTTGTTGCAAGAGGGAGGTGACTAGTGGCATTGGTTGGTTGATATGTCATCGTATCCCAATTGTGTGAATCGATGCTCATGTCAATCACTGATTCTGGTCCAGATTATCTACAGACCACTGTCATATAGCTGGAATATTGCCGAGTGCAGCGTTAAACAACAAACAAAACATACTCTGAGGTTTTTGTCGATTTTTTTAAAAATAGTTTGTCACATGCTGCAAATGTTACAGCCTCGGTCGTGTATGTCATCTTGTATCATCTAGGCATTTGTGGTTTAAAGTGTTGGAACCCTTTCTATTTATATGGCTATTTGTCGCCTATGATGAGTGGCCTCGAAAAAAGGGGAGATAATAAGTTTGTGTAGCTGGAGATCATCCTCACATGGGATAGGTCCATTACCAACCGTATGATAAAACCATATAATTGTGAAATCACTGAGCATCAGTTAAGATCTTTTTTTGGCAAATTGATGTGAACAAGTGAAGATATTTAAGTTAAATAACACAACAGATTTTGACCACCCCGCCAATATATTTATAATTGTTGTTGGGATATTCTTTGGCTCAACCTCATTGTGTACAATTGTTAAGGTGAGGTTCTCTAAATTGTTTTTGAAAAGAAAAATATTAACAATTCAAAGTATTATCCAGATGTAGAAGACAGAAATAACATAGGGTAACATACAAAATTCATTATGAAACCCTGCTACCAAATGAGACTAAATATGTTCTTGTTGAAGGTTGTCCGATGGAAATTGAATTGTTGAGATTAACATGGTTATTTCTGAATCTTGGGTGTTGCCCCATATTCAGCTGCTTTCTTGCTGACATTACAAGTCAGCATGCTGTAGCACATGGACTTGGGAAGAATAAATGTTTGGTAAGCAGAGAACTGTTTTCCTAGACAGGTTCACTTTACCAACCATACTACAGAGGCTTGCCTCCCTGTTTATTATAAGATGCTTTCTGTTAATATTGCCAGTCCAGTGTTATGCATACTTAGCTGTTTAGGGTGATTGTTTCATGTTAGTTACTGGGTTAGGTGCGAGTCTTTCTTGCATTGTAATTCAATTGAGCCTTAAGTCATCAAATGAAACTTTTCACAATGTGCTATAAAAAGATGAATTTTGCCAAGTTACTTGCTACGTTAAGTTTTGTTTTTGATACATCTGAAGGAATGATGTTGTAGACAGTATTTTGTGTTTGAGTGTTTTGAACCCAACTGGATCTGCTCTGTGCTGATGAAATGTGATGGCAGTATTTGCATGAGCCCTTTCTTTCTTATTGTTTCTTGTCTCCTATGATGAGTGACCTCCAAGAAAGGGGAGATAATAAGTTTGTGTAGCTGGAGATCATCCTCACACATAGGATACATCCATTACCAACCGAACGACATTCCCAGTGATTAAAGTTTTGGATAATTTATTACCATCCCATCCGTAGTCTTGATCATGTTTCAATGAAACATGGAAATTATCATTGGAGTCAAACTTATTAACTCACATTGGACGGTGTCTGTACACTTGTATCAATTATCAAAGGTTGATGTCTTAGAGCCTGATACAAGTCCACCTGTATTCCAACTTTTGCCAATAGGTCCATAACTTTACTTGAACACTATCAGTGTTAATATGTTTTGTTTTGTTGGTTTCTGGTTTGTATTGAGGGAAGTGTAGGGAAACATTGCATCTTATTTTATCCCAAGTTTTGCATCATTAACCATTGTTAACACATATAATAATAACAAAATCATGTCATTTGAGACAGTTGATGTAAGGTAAGTTTTGAACCTCTTTCTTTATATCTGGCTTCTTGTCTTCTATGATGAGCGGCCTCCAAGAAAGCGGAGATAATAAGTTTGTGTAGCTGGAGATCATCCTCACACATAGGATAGGTCCATTACCAACCGAACGACAAAGTCTTTATGATTATGCAATCACGGGGCATCTGTTAATATATATATTTGGCAGATTTATGTGTGAACATATGAAGGTCTTAAATTTATGTAGCAAAACATATTTTGACCACCCCACCAATATTTTAATGTTTGTCATTCAGGATATTCTTTGGATTAATTTCATTGTTTACAACTGTGATGGTGAGGGTCTGTAATTTTCTTTGAAAAGGAAAATATTAACAGTTCAAAGCATTATTGGGATGTAGATGATATAAGGTTAGGATATCTTACAAAATTCATTATGAAACCGTAACAAGTTCTTGTTGAAGGTTGTCCGATGGAAATTGAATTGTTGAGATTAACATGGTTATTTCTGAATCTTGGGTGTTGCCCCATATTCAGCTGCTTTCTTGCTGACATTACAAGTCAGCATGCTGTAGCACATGGACTTGGGAAGAATAAATGTTTGGTAAGCAGAGAACTGTTTTCCTAGACAGGTTCACTTTACCAACCATACTACAGAGGCTTGCCTCCCTGTTTATTATAAGATGCTTTCTGTTAATATTGCCAGTCCAGTGTTATGCATACTTAGCTGTTTAGGGTGATTGTTTCATGTTAGTTACTGGGTTAGGTGCGAGTCTTTCTTGCATTGTAATTCAATTGAGCCTTAAGTCATCAAATGAAACTTTTCACAATGTGCTATAAAAAGATGAATTTTGCCAAGTTACTTGCTACGTTAAGTTTTGTTTTTGATACATCTGAAGGAATGATGTTGTAGACAGTATTTTGTGTTTGAGTGTTTTGAACCCAACTGGATCTGCTCTGTGCTGATGAAATGTGATGGCAGTATTTGCATGAGCCCTTTCTTTCTTATTGTTTCTTGTCTCCTATGATGAGTGACCTCCAAGAAAGGGGAGATAATAAGTTTGTGTAGCTGGAGATCATCCTCACACATAGGATAGGTCCATTACCAACCGAACGACATTCCCAGTGATTAAAGTTTTGGATAATTTATTACCATCCCATCCGTAGTCTTGATCATGTTTCAATGAAACATGGAAATTATCATTGGAGTCAAACTTATTAACTCACATTGGACGGTGTCTGTACACTTGTATCAATTATCAAAGGTTGATGTCTTAGAGCCTGATACAAGTCCACCTGTATTCCAACTTTTGCCAATAGGTCCATAACTTTACTTGAACACTATCAGTGTTAATATGTTTTGTTTTGTTGGTTTCTGGTTTGTATTGAAGGAAGTGTAGGGAAACATTGCATCTTATTTTATCCCAAGTTTTGCATCATTAACCATTGTTGACACATATAATAATAACAAAATCATGTCATTTGAGACAGTTGATGTAAGGTAAGTTTTGAACCTCTTTCTTTATATCTGGCTTCTTGTCTTCTATGATGAGCGGCCTCCAAGAAAGCGGAGATAATAAGTTTGTGTAGCTGGAGATCATCCTCACACATAGGATAGGTCCATTACCAACCGAACGACAAAGTCTTTACGATTATGCAATCACGGGGCATCTGTTAATATATATATTTGGCAGATTTATGTGTGAACATATGAAGGTCTTAAATTTATGTAGCAAAACAGATTTTGACCACCCCACCAATATTTTAATGTTTGTCATTCAGGATATTCTTTGGATTAATTTCATTGTTTACAACTGTGATGGTGAGGGTCTGTAATTTTCTTTGAAAAGGAAAATATTAACAGTTCAAAGCATTATTGGGATGTAGATGATATAAGGTTAGGATATCTTACAAAATTCATTATGAAACCGTAACAAGTTCTTGTTGAAGGTTGTCCGATGGAAATTGAATTGTTGAGATTAACATGGTTATTGTGAATCTTGGGTGTTGCCCCATATTCAGCTGCTTTCTTGCTGACATTACAA